TGGCTGGGCCATTTAAGAACAGTCACGGAGTTGTTGTGAAGCCACTCCTTCGTTATTTTAGCTGTGTGCTTAGGGTCATTGTCTTGTTTGAAGGTGAACCTTCGGCCCAGTCTGAGGTCCTGAGCACTCTGGAGAAGGTTTTCGTCCAGGATATCCCTGTACTTGGCCGCATTCATCCTTCCCTCGATTGCAACCAGTCGTCCTGTCCCTGCAGCTGAAAAACACCCCCATAGCATGATGCTGCCACCACCATGCTTCACTGTTGGGACTGTATTGGACAGGTGATGAGCAGTGCCTGGTTTTCTCCACACATACCGCTTAGAATTAAGGCCAAAAAGTTCTATCTTGGTCTCATCAGACCAGAGAATCTTATTTCTCACCATCTTGGAGTCCTTCAGGTGTTTTTTAGCAAACTCCATGCAGGCTTTCATGTGTCTTGCACTGAGGAGAGGCTTCCGTCAGGCCACTCTGCCATACAGCCCCGACTGGTGGAGGGCTGCAGTGATGGTTGACTTTTTACAACTTTCTCCCATCTCCCGACTGCATCTCTGGAGCTCAGCCACAGTCATCTTTGGGTTCTTCTGTACCTCTCTCACCAAGGCTCTTCTCCCCTGATAGCTCAGTTTGGCCGGACGGCCAGCTCTAGGAAGGGTTCTGGTCGTCCCAAACGTCTTCCATTTAAGGATTATGGAGGCCACTGTGCTCTTTGGAACCTTAAGTGCAGCAGAAATTTTTTTGTAACCTTGGCCAGATCTGTGCCTTGCCACAATTCTGTCTCTGAGTTCTTCAGGCAGTTCCTTTGACCTCATGATTCTCATTTGCTCTGACATGCACAGCTGTAGGGTCTTATATAGACAGGTGTGTGGCTTTCCTAATCACGTCCAATCAGTATAATCAAACACAGCTGGACTCAAATGAAGGTGTAGAACCATCTCAGGGATGATCAGAAGAAATGGACAGCACCTAAGTTAAATATATGAGTGTCACAGCAAAGGGTCTGACTACTTATGACCATGTGATATTTCAGTTTTTCTTTTTTAATAAATCTGCAAAAATGTCAAACATTCTGTGTTTTTCTGTCAATATGGGGTGCTGTGTGTACATTAATGAGGAAAAAAATGAACTTCAATGATTTTAGCACATGGCTGCAATATACAGTAACAAAGAGTGAAAAATTTAAGGGGGTCTGAATACTTTCCGTACCCACTGTATGACCACTCTGAAGGAGTTACAAGCTTCAGCAGCTGAGATGGAAGGGACTCTGCAAACAACTGTTGCCCGGGTTCTTCAACAGTCAAAGCTTTATGGGAGAGCGGCAAAGAGAAAGTCACTGTTGAAGAAAACTCATTAAATCCCGACTACAGTTCGCCAAAAGGCATGTGGGAGACTCCATGGTCAAGTGGAAGATAGGTCTTTGGTCTGATGAGACCAAAAGGGTAGAGAATTTATGGCTAGGCCTGAAAAGGGCTGTCCGCGCCCGATCCTCGCATAACATGGCAAAGCTTGAGCAGTTTTGCAAAGAATGGAGATGGGAGTAAAATTGCTGTGTCCAGATGTGTAAGCCTGACTGACACCTATCCACACAGACTCAGTGCTGTGATTGCAGCCAAAGGTGCATCTACTAAATACTGACTTGAAGGGGGTGAATATTTATGCAGTCACTTATTTCCCATATTTTTATTTGACATTACTTTGTAGAAACCGGTTTTCACTTTGACAAAGAGATTTTTTTGTAATTTTTTCTTTTGTCAAAAAAGCTAAATTATATTGACCATGATTGATTTATAAAATCAATAAAAGGGGAAAACATCCAAGGAGGTGAATACTTTTTATAGGCACTGCACCAAAACACACGCATTAGCTTTAGATGCTAATACACTCAGCATGAAAAACGCCACATCTGAATCAAATCTGAGTCCTTTGACTGCTTTTAACACTCTCCATCTCAAAAAGACAAACTGATGTTGACCCTGGTTTTTGCTCTTTCTTTGTCTTGCTCCCTCTATGCAGTCAGTTTCAGACCTTTGGCTGCCAGTTTGCTCTCTTTGGCTGGCTGTTTGAAATGACAACTCCCTCTTCAAAAATCATGCCTTATAACCTTCCCTAGCGGCAGAAAGGAGTCAATTACAGACGTGACTTTGACAGTACAGGGTAGAGAAGCTGGAATAACAACAGAAGGGTGACACAGTGGCATAAAGAAGAGTAGGACAGCTGAGAGACTGTCCTCCCTGACTCCCTGTCCCATTTTCACTTGATTTTTCAAACTGTGTAAAATCTTAGCTAATGGACCTTTAAGGGTGGTTGTGCATATGTGTATGTACCATTCTGGAGTGTCTGTATGTCTTTCTCTTTCAGTGTTAGCTTCTCAGTGACAGTGGACATTTCCTGCTGTGAGGACTGAAGGGATCTGGCCAGTTCTCCAACCTGACAACAAGTACAGGAAAACACTTTTCATTACACAGTATAAGCTTTCACAATCACACATAGAATGGAAAACACCTCTGATGTTTGTTTTTTTTTGTTTGTTTTTTTTTTACATTGTCTAATAAAGTATGCTTGATCAATTAAAGGTCCAATTCATGGACATAAATGTTGGCGTATGTGTCTGGGACTAGTTCAGAGAAAGGCTACATCATTTGTGTGGAACCACACATTAGCTGTTCCATTACTGTAAGTACCGTGTGATGCATGTTTACCCACAGACCTGTGTTTGCAGCTCCTCTTTCTGTTGTCTGGTTTCTTCCAGAGCTTTGGTGATTTCGGCGCACACCATCTGCTGGCTATTCAGTTCCGCCTGAGGGAAAACCAAATCAGAAAGTGAGAACAAATACACTCAGCTTTCTGCTATGGAAATCACCTTAAAGTCTATAAGCATTCTGTTCTCCAGAATAATTTATACTTTTAGCAGAGCTGACAAACCTAGTACTGTACATGTTCAGTGCAAAGTATACAGTATATGAGAATGCACAGTGACGCTGTAGAGCAAAACATGAAGACTACAACTGAATATAGTGCGCAGGTTCATTGGTTGGGGTCTGAGTAAGAGATTTTTATTAACTCTCCATATTAAATGATTTTTACATTACCCTATTTAAAAGACTGAATATCAGAAGAGAGGTGTAAGCATTTAGAAGTTGAGCACATATGTGCATTTAAAAGAAATCTATTATGTTGAAGTTGTTCTTACCCTGCATTGCTCCAGCTCTTCTGTCTGTTGCCTCACCGTGGACTTCACGTCGTTCCTCTCCGTCTCCAATTCAACCTAAAACACAGGAACAGGAGGGGAAAACCATTACTTAAAATATGACAAATTATGCCCCCAGTCGTAGCTCAAGGTCATGCTTTCTCACTGCAGTAGATTTATATCAACAATTATTCCACTACTGACTGACATAAAACCCAACATTTTTCTGTGATGAATTAACTAATGGCACACCAGCATGACTACTATATAGTGCAATAACTTTCATGTCAATCTTTGACAAATCAAAAGAGGTTCAAATGAGCAGAAGTAGAACATACCACCCTGTCCTCCAACATTTGTTTATCTGTCTGTAAAGAGGCGATGCTTTCTTCCAAACGACTGGCCTTCTCCTGACTCTGCTGCTGTAACAAACACACCTGCTGATCCAGAAAGGCTTTCTCTGCACTCCACTCTCCTTGCTGAATCAAACGCATAGACAAATGCCTAATTAAACATATGCATACAAAACTCTCTGCTGGCAGAGCGCAGGTTTTTCATTGAATGAAAATACACAAGTAATATTTTATTGCATATTAAATCCCCACCCCCTCCCCCAATCGGAGGAAATGGCAATCAGGAATTCCTTTAATTAATAAGTTTAGTTTTGCCTCCAATACTTGCCAGACCTCATGAATCATTGTCATTTCTATAAAAGAAGTACCTCCCTACTACTGTAATTTTTTTTTTCCATGCAGTGAACTCACTCACATCACTATATTTTGATAAGTTAGAAACTCAGTGCTGCTATGAGTTGTGCATTTTCTGTACAAACAGCGTTGCTGTCCAGGATAATGTTCTAAAACTGGATTTCTTGTGCTAAAATTAACATTATATTGTCTGTCATTTTTAATATTACCTCCAGATGAAAACAAAGTAAAGAATCTGAAAGCATTATTGCTTTAGATATTTTATTGTGCTTAGCCATTTGTTGAACGCAGGCAGAGAAAGAGAACCAATTCTGAAAGACAGCATGATTTTTTATTTTAATGTGCATTGTGTATGATAAAACACTGCGTATAATAAAATGTTAATGATGTATTAATTATTGACCACTAACATGCCAATAACTGATTAGGAAAAGTTTATTTCTATTCTACAAGTGCTTACACAATGCATCATCATACCTAACATGGCTGATGAATTTACAGCTTACAAACTCCTTTTGTGTTCTGACTACTACTGTGGTACTCACCAGTTTATTTATGTGCTGCTGTTTCTCTGTCATCTGCTGCTCTGTACTCTTTAGTTTCTCACTACCCTCTAGGACTCGCTGCTCCAGGTTAGCTATCTGAAACACAAAACAGTACAACGACTGATTGTGAGAATATCATCAGTAAGCCAACTTCCACTCTCAGCTTTTAATCTTTAGGCAGCCACATAAAACATGTGATATTCTTATTTTATTTCCTGTTCTTTGTTGCAGCAGTGTGTATGATTGCTTACTTGTGTGTCTGTTCTCTCTCTGTAGGCCCTGGAGGACTCTTCTTTGTGTCGGAGAAGGGTCTGCAGCTCAGTAATACTGCAGCTCATTCTGGATACCTGAGGTCAGACAAGAGCGACATGTTTTGACCTAGAGAGCATTTCAGCGCCAGTGTATTACTTTTTCTATAATCTTTTTTTTTTTTTTTTTTTTTTTTTGACAATGTAGGCCATCCAAAGTATGAAAGCAGGGAGACAACAATTTTAGTTAACACCTTTAGGGACAAAGACTTGATTGGAAATTTATAGTGATCAGACTGGAACAGGATGACACTGGAAATAAAACCAGATGTTCTTCTTTTGTTCACCTGAACAGCCACCTGGACACATTGTACAACTTGTACAGCTAACTTAGGGCCCACATGGATCATATTTTCATTGCTCCAGTAAAATCTTTTGTTTTCTTTTTTATGGTTTTGGTATTATTCTGATTTTATATTGTTGTGCACATCGGGGGCCATTGGGCTGGAGTCAAATTCCTTGGCAATAAAGTTTATGTGTAACTATCTCATCAGTTATCATCCTACCTCATCAACAAAAGTTACATTTATTCAGTTTGTAGATTTGATGACACATAGCATGATAACAAATGCAACATCTTCACCATAAATCAGTGTTCAGGGTTGTGTACTGGCATTGGTTTACCTGTGCCTCCAGGGAGCTGACAGTATCAGCATGGCTCGTCCGAACAGCCAGCAGCTCTGCTCTGGTCTCTTCCAGAGTTTGCTCCACACTAGACTTCTGGAAAAGGCAACAGCAATGATAAATAGAGTAGGTGCTCTGATTCTATTTCCTACCATACAATTAAATATGATGTCTGAGTGTAAAGTCTATAGAACATCAGTGAAGTCAACGTGTTTGTTGACAGTTGTCTTCTGTCACTTTTCTACCAACTAATCTGCTTTTAATAACTGCAAGTCTCTTAAATAAAATATATTAAAAAATTAAAATATTACTAGAAATACTCTGAACCATCACAGGCCTAAACCCAGCCTGATCACCTCCTGGAGAAGCTCCTGTAGATGCTCATCCTGGCTCAGGTTCCCCTGCAGTCGTCTCTCCAGGGAGGTCACTTTCTTCTGCAGTTCCATCAACAAGCGCTCCTTGTCCTGCTCCGTCACAGCAGCCTGGTGATATTAAGAGGGGACATGTTCAAAAACTGGTACAGAATCTAGGCTTCCTCATCTCTTAAAATAAAAACTTTTCAAATCTCACTTTTAAAACCAGGATTACACATCTCTTGTTTTTCCTGAGGCTAATAAATATTGAAAACTGGAAAAAATCTGTTATATTCCTATAATGTGAACTAAAAGTCAGCCTTTCCTGACAAGCCTGGAGAATTGATCAAACTGAGTAACATTCTATGCATGAAATATATTCTTATTCTTTATTTTTGATGATTTGATTTGAACCCAGGTCCATGTCGATTGCTCACTCCTGCTCATCTTTGTCTGACAAAGGTGGAACGGTGGACAAAACACAGTAGTATTGCTAAGAACCAGTACTACTCATTATGTCCTGACCTTTTGCTGCTGCAACTTCAGGGTATCATGTTCAGTCTGTAAATCACTGAGGGACTTCTGTAAAGTTGACACCATACTCTGTGACTGAAAAACAAAATTTCACAAACTCATGAGTAAAAAAGTTGCCTTGATAAACGGTCATTGAAAAAACAGAGTTCATAACTTTTGTAGATATATACGTATAAAAACTTTGTGCAGTTTGTGATACAGAAACAGACCTTCTGGAAGTCTTCAGAAACCTGCTGGATGACTGACTGCAAGTCCTGGCACTGTACCTCCAGCTCACTGATCTTCCTGTCTGCCTCCTCTCGGAGCAGCAGCAGTTCCTCTCTGCACAATTCCAATCAGACGCATGTTGTCTCATTAGTATTCTTTTAAAAAAATCACGGAAAAACTAACAAGCCATAATGAACTTCCTTTTTCTATTTCCACACAATTTTTATGCCTGGGGGATATGATCCTATGTAAATGAATATTCAATTACTTTGGAAAACCCCAAAAAAATACTGTCAAAAAGCTATAGTAAAACTTTATTTAGAAAATCCTACTTAGATCTCTCCTACCCTTAAAAACTTATAATAATGGTAGCATATATATGCATTAGAATCACATAGTATTGCCTGTTGCAATCCTTCCTACCGCTCTATTTCAAGCTCTGAGCTGAGCCTGCAGCTCTCCTCATAATGCTGTTCCAGAGTCTGGAGTTTCCCTCGAGTCTCGGACAGGCCAAGCTTTGCTGACTTAAGTTCAGCCTCTTTCTGATGGAGGTCTCGCTCCCGCTGGCTCAGCTGCTCCTCTTTCTTCAGCAACTGATAAGATGTAAATAGGAAATAAACCAGAATCAAAGAACATGATGTACTAAAGAAAGTGCTGCTATGAAGCCAGGTGAAACATCTCAAAATAATAAATGCTTTCAAACCCAAACAGTGGCAGAGACTCTCCCTTCCTGCACTCTCAATTTAATTGCAAAATGACAAAGGAAAGATGGCAAACTACAGCAGTGTTTTAAAGTCAAGCTCTTAATCTAACAAAAAACTCCACATGTACGCACCATGTGTTTAACTTTAGCAAGCTCCTGTTGCTGAAAGCCCTCCAATTCATCCAGGTCATCTCTTTTCTGGAAGAGAGCTAAGCTTTGCTCCATCATCTCCTCTAGCCGAGCTGACAGGGCAGCCTTCTCCTAAACAAACACAATAGTTATAATGTACCAAGGTACACGTGCATTGTCCAATATCAGGACATGTGCAGGTTTCTATAAGCTTAATCTAAAGGACCCCCATGGAGTTTCTGATTTCTACCATCTTTTGGAGCTATTCTTGTGAGGGAGTCCCTGTTTTTGTTTAGCTCAGCTTATACATGCGTACAAAAATACACATGCAAGCACACAGGTGAGTGGATTCTCAAAGTCAGTGGTTTCACACTATTACTGCAGAAACACACCAAGCAGACATTAAGCCATCAGCCACTGTCAGGCTGTCGGTAAGCGTCTGTCGGAGCTGGTCTTCTCGATGCGTCCCACACCAATGGCACTAGTTGGCCCGTATCAGCAGCTTTTCGGCTCATTCAACACATTGAATCGGTGTCCGTCCTTTGGGCCTCATTGGTGAGGGAGCCCACTCTGACTGGCTGGTGAGCTTAGTGAATCAATGCACAAGAAGAGAACAGTTCAGGAAAGCCCCTTCAGCCTGTTGCTGTAGTATCCATGACTTCACTCGTTTAGTGCAGTTTCTCTGTTTTTTTGCCTCCACAACTTCCTTTCTTCTTCCATAACCAAAAGACCAAGGGCAGGGAAGGGCAGTGTTGTTTGCAACTTCTAAGATACTGTGCAGGACCCTCAAGCTCCCAGGCCTCTGGTAGAGGACCCAAGCTTGAAGGAAGGAATACAAGACCGCTCCAAAGTGGGGGGCGAGTTGGGATTTTATTTTTTAAATATATATAGCTTATACTTCTGCATTCTAGCTTGTCTTTCCCTTTCTGAATGGCGAATACAGATACTGCCACCTGCTTGTAGGGGAAGTTATTTCCGTCAGCAGGTGCAGAATGTATGTGCTAGTCAGCTGTTGGCTATAGTTGTGCATTTTGTTCAAGTGCCACTTTTTCCAACCCAACTGGCCCAGACAAAGCCAACGTGAGGCGACACAGTAGTCGGCCTTTGTTGGTGCTAGTTCTTTCACATTGGCTTGGCGTGTCTCTCCCTTGATTAGCAGGTGGCTATAAATCATCAGGATATGAAGCAATGTCAGGGATGAAGAAAACTACTAACAAGTAATCACCAACGTAACACTGATGCTGGATTTCTAAATAGGCTTTGCAAATATTCTATGAGGAAGGACATATGTTTGTCAAAGCTCATGGATATATACACAGTGTGAAATGGTAAGTAATATTAAATTTAAACTTGTTTGCTTCCAAATAAATAAATAAATAAATAAACTAAAAGTTCACAAGGCACCCTTAGAAAAACCATTCCAGTAGTTAGGCACACATTAGTCCAGTTACCATTACAAACAGTTATTTCACCATTAATAAAAGTGGCCTCATGTCTTCCTACTTTAGCTGGGGTCTAACTGGTTTCAGTTCATTTCAGTACACTATCAAAACCAACTCAGACTTGGAACTTACTGAACATACATAATACATTTTATTTGCATTAAAATCACAAAGTGAATCTGTGAATCCTTCGAAGTGGTATATTCACATGCTGAAGCGAACGTCTGATGACAGAATGTCTCCATCAGCTGCAACATATCTTTCTCACCAGTGAATACAAATACTTATCAGACATAAGTGCCCATTTGGATAGCTAGTTGTATTCAGTGGAAGACTGTTTAATCACTAGCTGAAAGTACTTAAATGCACTTTTCTCTAACTCAGATGTGCGCTCCATTCAACAGTCGGAGCTGGAAAGTCTGCATACTAGTTTCTAAACAGACAGCAGTTTGTAAAGAAATAATTAATGACAGTTTAAAAAAATGTTAGACAGCAAATATGATGACAAGGAGCTCTGACAAGATGACAATTACACTTTCTGTGTAACAGCTATTGTACTGTACCAGTCTGAGCCATAGTGTACCGAGGACATGATGCTGAGATGAGCAGAGAGGGAGGGAGAGGGCAAGAGCATGGGGTATAACTGCTACATAATCAGATTAACCAGAATGGTGGAATGGAGGTAACAGTGGGCATCTGCTGGTATAGTTATAACACAAGCCAAGCAATGGAGGTTAAGTGTGAAAGCAACCGATTTGAGTATAATACTGCTGGGGAAATCCACGATCCCTCTGTGATTCATGTGGGTAATAGTTACATTTTTAAATATAAATATATAATTAAGTCAAATACTATTTAAAGTCACCAAAGATATAGCAAATTTAAAGATTTACCTTTTCCATATTAGCCATCTTTTCCATCCATTCCTGCAGGTAAGGATGGAAACATATAAGTACACATGGCAAAAATCAGCACTGTGCAAAATGGTAGAGGGAGCTGCATTTACCTGGTCCTTCTTTTCCAGTGCTAAAGTCATTCCCTCTGCCATCTTGGCTTTATTGGCCTGATAAGACTCACTCTGGTCCTGAAGTTTCTTTATGGATGCTGAGCAGTGAAAAGTGTGAGAGAGAAACAGAAAGGAAAAGACAGGAACCATACAGATTTGTATGTGGCCAAAGAGAAGAGAAATATTAAAAAGCACAGACAGAGGCACAGTAAGTAGCTGTGAAAAGTTAGAATCAGATCAAGAAGCATGTTTATCCAACAGGGAAAGACAAGCAATGCATGGCAACTGACAGAAACTAAAATGCAGTTAAAAGATAGAGGAAAAATATCCACCCTGAAGGAAACAAACAAATGCCTCTACAAGCTGCACTGTTCATTACAGCTCACTATAGTAAAGTATGACACCCAACAACAAACTGATCATTTAGCTATTTCCTAGAATAATAGTGGGTCATCTCCAGTTGTTGTGACAGAGCCAGAACACGAAGCAGCTGGGTACAGTGGATACTACTGAGTTGGAATGTAATATTTCCTGTGCGTTAAATTCTAGCCTACAAAAATCAATCATAAGACGCAGAAATACCAGTTTATCCACTGGCACTATACTCAACAGAGCAGAATGCATTAATGCTATAAGACATGTTTATAGTAAGTGATGGGTGTAGCTGCAGTCATTACTCCGAAGACCATAGTCAGAATAGCTGCTGAGCTATATTTATACCGAGTCTGTGTTTCAGTGGGTGTACAACACATCTTTAGGAGTTGTTGCCACACAATGTGGGTAATGTAGCAAACTGTTAAACGTTTGAGTGTGGGGCAAGCTGAGGGAAATGGGTACTCCAACAAAGTTAAACACAATGCCTTGATAACTCTGAAACCAATGTGTTGAACAAATATCAGAGTACACTGTGCGCACAATTATTAGACAAGTATTTTCACCATATCATCATTTTTATGCCTAATTTCCAACTCCAAGCTGTATAAACTTGAATGCTTATTGGGTTTAACCATATCAGGTGATGTGTATTTGTGTAATGAGGGAGGATGTGGCCTAAGGAGATCAACACCCTTTTATCAAGGTGTGCATAGTTATTAAGCAGCTTCTTTTCCTCAGACAAAATGGGCCAAAAAAGAGACTTAATGGACTGTGAAAAGTCAAAAATTGTAAATCTTTCGGAGGGATGCAGCACTCTTGAAATTGCTAAATATTGGGGCATGATCATAGAACCATCAAAAGTTTTATTGCAAATAGTCAGAAGAAATGTGTTGAGAAAAAAAAGATGCAAATTAACTACCAAAGATTTGAGAAGAATCAAATGTGACACTACCAGGAAGCCATTATCCTCTAGTGCTGTCATACTCCAGAACTGTAACCTACCTGGAGTCCCCAGAAGTACAACGTGTTCAGTGCTCAGAGACACGGCCAAGGTAAGAAAGGCTGAAACCTGACCACCACTGAACAAGACACAAGTTGAAACATCAAGACTGGGCCAGGAAATATCTGAAGACCGATTTTTCAAAGGTTTTATGGACTGATGGGATGCGAGTGCCTCTTGACAGACCAGATGGATGGGCCCGTGGCTGAATCATTAACGGGCACAGAGCTCCACTTTGAATCAGACACCAGCAAGGTGGAGGCAGGCTGCTGGTATGGGCTGGTAGTATTAAAGATGAGCTAGCTGGACCTTTGTGGGTTGAAGATGGACTCAAACATCAACTCCCAAACCTACTGCCGGTTTTTAGAAGACACTTTCTTCAAGCAGTGGTACAGGAAAAAGTCTGCATCTTTCAAGAAGACCATGATTTTTTTCTGCTGGACAACGCTCCATCGCATGCATCGAAGTACTCCACTGCACGGACAGCCAGTAAAGGCTAAAAATGAAAGAATAATGACATGGCCCCCTTCCTTACCTGACCTAAACCCTACTGAGAACTTGTGGGCCCTTCTTAAACGGGAGATTTACGGTGAAGGAAAACGGTACACCTCTCTGAACGGTGTCTGGGAGGCTGTGCTTGCTGCTGCACAAAAAGTTGATTGTCAACAGATCAAGGAACTGACAGACTCCATGAATGGAAGGCTTATGACTGTTATTGAAAAGAACAATGGCTATACCGGTCACTGATGTCAGAAATGTTTATTTGTAAATTTTGAGTTACTATTCTCACTTTAACATGAAAATCAACAAGTGAGATGGGGAAATTTTTCATTCGTTTTTCATTTTGTTGCATAATATTTCTCTATACTAACAGTTGCCCAATAATTGTGCACACATAGGCATTCTCCTAAGAAAGCCCAAACCTCACTTTTACTTTCTTAAATATTCAGGTTTAAGGTTTATTAACACTTTGGATTGACCGAGAGCACTGTAGTTGTTGAATAATAAAATTATTCCTCAAAAATACAACTTGCCTAACAACTGTGCACACGGTGTAAAAGATCTGAGAGGGGATTTTTAAATTAAAAGAAAAAAAAACATCCAGCGCTCCCTAAGCAAACCTTAAAAGCCCATGATGTAACCATCTGGAATAAATTGTTTTCATGGGAGAAAGTGATGATGCATCAGGTGACAGACAGGAAGCTAATTGGGAGGAGAGTAGAGGTACGTACAATCCTGATGCTTTTCTAACGCAATTTCAAGCTTCTCCTTGGTCTTCTGCATAATTCGTAGCTGCTCAGCGTAGTCTAGTGGTGAGAAGTAGGGTGATGGAATGGGGTATCAATAGTACATACACACGTGCACACCAACACACAATCACACACACAAAACACAAACAAGGAGGAGCAACAAGCAGTTAATGAAAGAGGCAGGAGAGAGTGTGGACAAAAGTAGAGAGAGAGAGAAAACAAAAGGGAAATCATGATTCACAGATAATGGAAAGTAAAACTACTAATGATTTTCTTATCTGAGAAAACCATACTGGTTAAAAGGCTGCATGAGATTGTGCGACCTTTAACCTGTTCTAAGGGTGTGAAGTCCCACATATAAGCCACCCAAAGGAAAGAGGAGATATTATATCAAATAGAGGATTTTTAAAAAAAACACACCCTAAACCTAGAAATACAGCATGACTTTTCTCCACTGAATATACACCCAGCAAACAACAATAAATGATCATTTTCATTCTGAGACATTAATAACATGACTAATTAGAAAGATTACTAGGATGGTCACTCCCAAGACCAGTGTTTTGTTCACTACTGTACCTGTTCCATGTGTAATGTTTGCATAGATTGTTCTCTGTGTGTGTTTAGATGTGCATTTCACAAGGTTAGTTTCGTGCACTTAGACAAATCTCTCTCACTCTATATATGTGTGTATATATATATATATGTATACACACACACACACACACACACACACACACACACACATTTTGTGATAGTTTGCACTTGTACTTGTGCTTGTATGCACTAGGGGTGTGTAACTGTGGTGTGCTGAGAAAAAAAATTAAGGTCAACAAAGTAAAAACTGCTGTTGCTGGGACACAACTTGAGCTTGGCTATTGTAGTTACCTTATAAGGCAGCAGGCTGACATAATGACATGGCAAAACATTTCTCCTGACAGCTACAGGCTGAATCGCCGCAGCTGCCCAACCTCAGTCTAACATGTCCTACCTGACAGCTTGGCCTCCAGCTTCCGGATCTGATCGTTCCTTCGGAGGAGCTGGGAGGGCAGGTCATCCCTCGAGCTGCTGCCATCAGACGCCTGAAGACACGCACAGCATTAGGTAGCACTTGTTATTCAGCAGGGTTATACTTGTGGTTTAAAGTATATATATCCACCTGAAGATGCCCTTTCACTGTCACAAACCATCAAGTTGTGACAATCAAAGCATTTCAGCCTTACTTTCACCATAACATCCTTCTACTGGCTACCTTTGTAATCTGGTGATTAGTCAGAAATACAAATACCTCCATATGATATCATGTAATTTGGCTAGTCCACTGCAGGAATTTAAAAAAAATCTATATGAAATTGGTGCAGAAAAGAAAGATGTCTTGTAAGCAAGCTTGGTAAAATGTGGAACCCAAACTAAGATTTCACTGTATCAGAAACACAGTGTCACATCTGCTGGCGGTATTGAACCTAGGCACCTGACTAAATTATTTAGCCAGGTGCAACTGAGACAGTACTACAGCCTGTGGAGCCTAACTTCCCCTGAGAGAGATCACACCATCCTTATTGGCATCAATAGTTGCTGATTATTTTTCTGCTCTGGTTACGCAATCAATTGTTGCAGCTGTACACGTGGACACGTCAGCTCCACCTTAGAAAACTTCAGGACTAAGGCAAACACAAACCAAAGGTGAAAAATATTACAATAGTGTCATACAGAACAAGGAAGAAATCTCCTTAAAAATTTAAAGGGTCACTCCACCATTTTTAGATATGATGTTCAGCTTATTGTTCATAGTTAGTACTATACAACCTGTGCATATTTTTTTCCCGTGGTTAATGGAGCTTCTTAGAGTGTGAGAAAAGTACTAATCCTGTCCTAAGTCTTAAAGACCTGGGCTTTCACCTGCCAGGGGACACTGAATGGATGATGTTATCAGGTTGCATCACAGGAAAAAGTAGAATTCAGCATTGTGGAGCCTGACTGGTCACTTCATTATTCTGCATCTATTGCAAGCCTCCCAACTTTGTAACTTACAGCACTACCCCTTTAAAATTCACAGAAATATTATTCTGTGTTAACTTAAGGTAACATAATCCTAACCACCTACAGGAAACTGTCTGAATAAGCAAAGATTTATGGGAATACAGAGACAGAGAATGATCAGCTGATCTGAACAAAACATGAGAGCTGACCAACTGTCAACTCTGAGCATCATTCTGAAAGTAAAACTAATATTTCACTTCTTTTTTCCCCCCCTGCCTAAATTAACACACTGCAGTAAATGCTATTTTACACTATGATGAGTTTAATTTGTTCCTGCAACAGCCATGAACATCCTTCAGCAAAAAAGTCCTCTAGTCAGAAACAAGTCTAACCCCTAGAAATTCTTTGATTAACATTTCTCTATTAATTACTAGGTTGCTTTCAAATAAACCTGACCACCAAATTGATTTTATTCTTCTTTATAATCTCTTTTAAATGTTTAATTTAATGTCCACTGCTTCTTAATCACACTTGTGCTCTCTAGCTTTAATGTATTTATATCATTTGAATTTTTTTCTTCTTCTGGGTAGAATCTGAGTATCATAAACATACTCTATTAATAAAATTATTAAACTAATATGGCTCTGACCAGAAGGCATGACTGTTTCACACTGTGTAGTAACAAAAATATTAATGCAATTAAAACATCAAAAAATTGTTTGTTAAATGTATGTACACCATACAAATATGAAGTATATCACCTAAAAAAACTGCACACAAAAATGTCAAAGCATTGGGTTGGTGTCTGATGATTTGACAGAGTACTTACAAAGTCATCTCCTGAGTCTGCCCCCACTGAGGTAATGGATTCCTTGCTGATAGTGCGTGGTATACGAACACCACTCCGAGGGGCTGTGGCCGCCTCCTCTGCAATCTTCTTCTTCAACTTGGCAAACATGTTTATCCTTTCAGTATATGTTTTTGAATGCAATTTGCAGTTTCTGTTGAGTAAATGACTTCACGTGATGCATGGAGTTTATGGCTCTGTGTTCTGAGAGCTCAAACAGAGCTGCATTATGCAGTAGCACTCAAAAGGAGTTTGTACTGGTAGTCCCATCCTGCTTCATCAGCTACATCTAGAAACAGAAAAGTGACAGTTATTAAAATGCCAAGATTGACAGCAGTGGCTATTTGCATGCAACAGTGACGTTACATTGTTCTAATGAGTCCAGCAAGATCAATACCTACCAGACAAAATTAAAATGTTATCTAATTTGGATTGGAATTTAGTCTGTCTACTGTACAGGCCTCTTCTGGAAAAAAAAATCTAGCTGTCATTTGTAAGTATTCCACTGATTAATACAAAGCATTTTTTTTTATCAAATCAATGTCGCAAAATGTTTCTTGCATCTGTCAAATATTTTACTGATAATATTGATACTCAAAGATGAGAACGCTCTGAACGCTTCTTGTGTAAACCAGTCTGAATTACTGCATGCTATTTTAAATAAACTTTAGAAAATCTAGTACTGGAGTAATTATGCATTTCATCAAAATAATCGCAGTAGAAAGCAAAGATTCTTCGGAGGTGGTAACTAGCAGTTTGTCACTACTGTTATCTCAACCTTCTAGCTAACGTGTGAATAAATTAGTTAGGGCACAAATTGCCGCAAAGCAAAAACTTTATTGGGTCTTACCAGTTTTAACCACATTAACAAATGTAACTATTCAATTACAAAGTCGCACTATGTTGACAGCCAGCTAACTCTTCTAGCTTTAACAATGAGAGTTAACGTTAGCACCGCCGGGTGATGTTAGCCGTCGTTGGCTTGCTCGTTCACTGAACACTCCTTGTCTTACCATATTAACTTCAAAAAATATAGGTCTGTGAGGTTTCCAGGGCCACAGTAACAGTATTTTCTCCGTCTGACACTCAAATAACAGCTATGGTTGCGACAAACGGCATGAACTCTCAGATGCCGTGTGGGTCCAAAAAGCTAGTGCCTGCTAGTTGGTAATCAACACGTAATCATACCAACACAGATGACTGAAGACGTCACGGCTGCGCCTCTGTTCATTGGCTAGAAGAGCTGCGAGCTGGCAACAGGCGCCACCTAGAGGCTGAAAGGGCAACAGCAGCAGCAGTTTCAACACACTGCTAGATCCTGATACTCGGAAGTAGATTGTGGTGAAATTGAAGTCTACCTGCTAGGGAGAGTAGGCTATCTAGGAAGTCCCTAGGTGTCCTATGTGTTTCCTCTACCCCAGTCTGAACCTAGTTTTCACCCTAGCCTGTTCACCTTAACCATTTGCATCTCATTATGCTTAACCAAACCTAACCCAAACCAGTTGCCACTGCCTACTCCTGAGTTTGGGCATGTAACATTTACCGTTTCAGAACTGCAGATGTGGACATAGCCACATCTGGGGTGATTCTAACAATTTTAATTTTTTGCTGAGATAATGATAGTCATTCATTCACTCATTATTTATTTATTTATTTATTTATTTGGGGCCTATTTCCAGAGGTGGAGAGCAACTAAGTACATTTACTCACATTTATTCATTTCTGCTACTTCATACTTCAATTTTACTACATTTTTTACAGTTACTAGTTACTTTTCCAGTTACCAGGTTAGGAAACTGTTTGGTCCTAGTCTATTTGAGGCCCCTATTTGTTGTGTAAAACACATTTTGTTAAAAAAAATTAAGCCCACAGAGCTGTGCGCCTACTGATTAAAGATGAACTAAATCAGAGACATAGTGCATATCTTTATCACTGTTGTGTTTCTAGTGGTAATGAATCAACAAGCTCAGCTCCATGAGCAGGGTGCTGAACCCTCAAAGACAATGATCAATACTGAACAGTAGAACAGCACTTCTCTCGACTCATTCGTTCATACATTGCATGGACACCATGTGTGTAAACTAACATTAGTGTTACATCCAGGCATGGGTGAACTGCACTTGTTCACTTTATTGGGTACACCTGAACAACTGTATGCAATTCAATGCAACACTTTGACCTTAACATCTGTGCTTAAGCTCAAAATGTTTGTTTTTGGTGAAATTGTCATAAATGTAAGCTGAAAAAAAAAACTTAGAAAAGTTTTTTTTTCAGCTTACTATGACCTGGATGATTGAGAATCTGCACAGACATGTCATAAATGTATAAATTCAACCATGTGGTTATTAAGGTCATAGTTAAAGGTGGTGTTGTACTGGATTACATTAAATTCAGAGGTATCTCTGTATTTTTGTCCTCCCCTGCTACATACAATTTTTGAGTGGGGCAGCAAAAATTGTGGGGCGGGCGTCTATTCCTTTTGGTTCATTCAGCTTTGTCACTATGCATAAAAGCCAATGTGGCTGTAAGTACCGGTGTTGTGTAAGAGAATGTGTGCTTGCTTCAAAAAGCTTTTTCTTTTGCTTCTGTATGTCAAAGAGAACTGAGATGTACTCTATTAAAATATACAACACCAAAATCAGAAAAAGTTGTAATGGTGTGTCTGTGCAGATTCTCAGTCATCCAGGTCATAGTAAGCTGAAAAAACTTGAAAAAACTGGACTAGATTTCTGGGCCGAAGACTGATGATGAACTGATGAAGCCTCTTGGATGAGAGGTGAAATGTCTTCAACCTAGAAATCTAGTCCAGTTGATTTTTTCTAAGTTTTTTCAGCTTGTAATGGTGTGTAAAATCAGCATTAAAGCTAAAAATAGTGATGTGTAAATCATCTTTGTCCTGTATTACACTGAAAGCAATACAGCAGCACATTATTTGATGTGATACCTCACTGATTTTATTCTTTGTTCAACATAAACACTCACTTCAACTCTGATGCTGCAACACATTCCAAAAAAAGTTGGGACGGCTGCATTTCAGGGCCAGTAATGAGGTAAAACAATAAAATGATGACTCCATTTGAAACAGGTGATGTCAACAGGTGACTGCATCATGATTCGGTACAAAGTGGCATCCAGGAAAGGCCAAGCCCTTTAGGAGCAAAGATGGTCCGAGTAGTGAGTGTTTATGTTGAACAAAGAATAAAACTGATGAGGTATCACATCAAATAATGTGCTGCGGTGTTGTTTTCAATGTAATACAGGACACAAGATGATTTACACATCACTGTTTTCAGTTTGAATTTTGATTCTACATACTGTCCCAACATTTTCTGATTTGGGGTTGTATTTCCATACGTCTTCAATGCACATGACCATGCATGCAACATAGCATCAAGCCTCTACTTTGGTTACATGTCAAGTATATCATTTTATCCAGGCTATTCCATAATCATCTTAGGCTATTTGTTCAGTGTGGGGTAAAGATATCATGACACTTAAACCTTTCATCAGCAGCAGATGCTGACACCTGTTCACAGCTTGCTCATTTACTGGATGCAAACCAATTTATTTAGAACTTTACTCAAAATGGAAGAGCACCTGTATTTTCACTTCTTTGTGTCATTTTACATACATTTCCTACTGCCCCTTATTAGCTCTGTAATCATTATTTCTGTAATAACTGTTCAAAACTCAGCTTATTAGTACATAAATTAAACCGCAATTCTTCGAATGAAGTCTCATACTGCAGTACAAGCCTACTGCAGGCTACATATGACAGCCTTACATGATTTGGGCCCTTGTTGTAAACTGCTCTGCCATTCATATCATATCATATCATATCATGTCCTAAGAGACGATTAAAAAGCACACTCCTGTTCACTGAACAGAGAGCAGCATGCACAAAGAGGAGAGGTTTTTCAGTCCTTCAAGTATTAATGTCTGACTTCCGATTTTGGATTTCTTTATTTAAAAACTATGGTGACAACAAAAAAAATTATAATTACAAGGGCAGATTCCAAATCTGGAAACTGCATAATGATTTTTTTAAGGTAACACAATCATTTAGATTTACATCTTCATAACATAACACCAAGTGTACAACTCCAGTGAAACTTGCAGTTGTTGTGCAAGTGTACATCAGTGCTTTATCTTACATCCAGCTTTAATAGATTAAGATTACCATAACAAAAACAACACTGCATCTGCAATCTGCTCAGCAAATTGAATTTTTATTCAAAAGCAAAATGGAGATATTTAAATATTAACATTTTACAAGTGTCAGTTGACTTTTGTGTAATTTGAATCCTTCCTCTCAAACATTTCATCTGCCAACTTACTTCGCTGTAATGTGTCACTGTGATTTAAGAATTGGCATCAAATGCACAGAGTGGTAATAACACTTGACAACTGGCACCAAGATATGCACAGGAAATACTCTAAATGCACTATACAAAATTCATATGTGTACACAAGTGCCGATGCCACTGTCCCAGTCACTATCTGTGAACTGAACAAATGGCTGCATTGTTTTAGTTTGAATGGGCTCACAGGAAATAAGGTGTTGTTGTTCGTGGTGGAATGACTCTTTCTGAGTCAGGTACTGCTCTGAAGAGCTTCGGCTCTCTTGTGTTGGCGTCTTTGAAGACCATAATGGAGGCGATGTTGCCACAGCGATAACAGTAGTTAGGAGCTGACCACACTGTGACCAGCTTCTCGTCAAACATAAACTTGTAGCCTTCGTGGACAAGCTGATGTGCCCGGCAGATCAGCTTCAGGTTGTTGATGTGAACAAACTGCAGTTTTTTGGAAAACAGAGAGAAACAAAAAAAGGAGGAAAAAGTGAAAAATGTTCAAAAACAGACACAGTCAATGTGAAGACACATCACCTCTTAATTTCCCCAAAGGGCCACAAGTGGCAATGGTTTAATTTGAGGACTAATAACCAGGGATAAAGAAGGTGATAACAGCAAACAAAAATGGAGATGGAGGGATGGGAGGACTTCCCATGTGTTTGTCTTAGATTACTCAAAATTAAATTTTGTGAATTTAAAAAGAATATGTAGGATGTATTACTAATTTTGCTGTAGCAAGCACTGATCCTTTTTATCTGTATTACTACAGGACCACTAACACCACTTGATATACAGCCATGTTTGCCACCAGATGGAGGAAGTCCCCAGTGACTGACTAGCTAAGGCTGGACACTTCTCTGTATGAGGCTGAGGAAACATTCTTACATCGCACTAAAAGTATTCACAAAGAATTTTTTTTATTTACACCAGTGCTTTTCCTGCTGGGTCATATCAAAATATGTGCAGTGAAAAGGACCTGTTGGTTGAACTACTAACTAGCTACTGGTGAGTCCTGATGTCATAGTAAGAAAAATGCATTAAAGCTACAGTATGCAGCTTAAGGTAGCATTAGCATGAAACTCCAAATCTGTCCACTCTACTCCACCCAGCGCTCCCTCTCCCTGCTCCACTATACTCTACTACCATCTGCTATGCTCTTCAGACGTTTGTCCTTATGAAATTACAATTTAATTTTCCCTGGGTTTTGGCCCAGTTTATCTTGGACATAACACTGCAGTCCATGTAGCATTTTAGTGAGAAGTTGTTAAAATGTACGCCATCAACACAACTAGAAAAGTGGGGAGTGTGTTCAACTATCAAAGCGCAACATGAAATTTCTCATTTCACATACAATTCATGGTTATGTGTGTCAGGTATGTAACATTGAATGAGATGTGATAGTGGACAGAACGTTAGTACTGTATCAATATTACTGGGAAAAACATTCCTCTGTATAATTTGCTTGTGTTACTGCAGATACATCTGTAACAAACAATGTTAGACATACATATTCATTTAATTGAATGTAAACCTCTTTATTTGACATTGTGTCGCTGCAATGCCACTGAATACCACAGGCTCTATTCTGGAGCTGATTATTACTGCTGCACTACCTACCACAATGGTTTCTGGCTGTCTGACCATGTATGACCTAGTTTCACAGACAGGGCAAGAGGGGCAACAAGGAACAGTGGGAGAAGAGGAGGGGAAGCTGCTTGAGTTTGTTTTGACTCTCACTTCACCCTTAACGGTTGAAAATTAGAGGGCGAAGTTACTTAATGAAACTTTGAAACCTTAATGCTGCTTTGAAGAAATTCATTAAAACCATTTAATATGTTAAGTCTGTCCTACGTGGGCTGGGTATGTTGATTAAAACCTGGGCTCTTATGGGCTTTATCAAAGAGCAGCAGCTGCATTGAGACATAAACAATACAGTGATCTGCCATTATTGTGCCATTTCCAAGAAGCTGTTGCCATGAGTAACAATTCTTATTGTCATTGGTTGAACCAATGTTAATGCAGGAGGAAAGGAGAACTGACATTTCATGGCTGTGTGCCTCTGACAACCAATAACCTTGGCCTTTGACCACCAAAATCTAATCGGTTCATCCTTGAGTCAAAGTGGACATTAGTGTCAAAGTGGACATTAGTGTCAAAGCTGACGAAATCCACTCAGAGCATTCCTGAGATGTTGTGCTCACAAGAATGGGACAGATGGAGGGACAACCCAAAAACATAATGTTTCCGACCACTGGCTGTCACCTGCTCGGAGACATTAAAAACAGGTGCAAAAAATATATGGATGCACTGTACTTATATAGTGCTTTTCTATCTTAATGGACAAAGCGTTTTACAACTTTGCAACTTGGGGTTCAATCTCGTGTCTAAGGACACTTGATCATGTGGACTTAAGGAGCCAGGGATTGAACCAGCAAAGCTGCAATTAGTGGACACAGCTGTCATGAAATGAGTTAGACATTTTAGGGTAGTAATATGTTATCTTTTATTTACCTTGTTTCATTCAATTATATATATTTTACACAAGACATGGAAACTAATTGCCCTAAAAACTGCAGTCCATGTTACATAAAGATGTTGCCTGGTACAGCTTGACAGGAAGTACTTTACTTTGTATGGCTCCATTCAAAAATAAAGCACAAGCACTACAGATATTTATTTGCTCTTCTGTCTTTGATCATTGCATTTCTTACTACTCTTATAAATCATAATAATCATGTAGACATTTTACCTCAATCTACAAGTCTCCTTATGGCAAATCAGAAACAGTGCACAAGATTATCTTTTGCCAGTTCATTTAAAAATGGTGTTGAGCTGAACTCAGTAAAAGAAACCTACCTCATTAGTGACCTTTGCCCCAAAGAGCCAGCCAGCTCCTCTGGGACTGATGGCCCAAGTGTCCACGTCTTCAGGGTCTGACCACACCAGATCACAAAATGCTCCTTTGTGGGGTATCTCCTGGTTCCGCTCAATGGTTCGAATTTGATCTAGGGTTTTAATGTCTGGGGAGAGGCCTCCATGGACACACAGGATCTGCTCGTCCATCAGCTGACAGATAATTACACAAAATATAGAAGTTAGGGCATCACACACATTGTAATTCTGAGGAACTGCTGTATTTCAGGCCAACACCATCCTCTTAAGGACAACAATCATGGTAACTTAGAAAACAACAACTGAAGAAAGGCCTGCCATACAAAAACTGACTTGCTGCTTCTAAGCAGTAGTTGCTCGGTTTAACAACAGTACAATGCCATCATACTGTTGTTAGCTAAGAAATTGTGGTTGATGAGTTACAGGCGATGTTATTTATTGGTCATTCTGGACACATGACATGAGATGATGTTAAAACCAAAGCTGAAAGAATACAAATGGCATCAAAACAGCTGAATCTGGAAAACACATCAGTGGCTGCGTATTTCAGCAAAGTGAGTAAACGTTATGAAAATGGCAATTTCATATCTGACAACATACATTTTTCAGGACAGACAATGTTATGAAAATGTTCTGTGGGGACTCAGAAAAAGGTGCTGATGGCATTATAGAAAGTGAAATGAGAAGGGTATGAATAAATAAATACCTAACATAGAGCACAAAACAACTTCTCATCTATTCACAAATACAAACACATCCAGGTGAATCAATGTCATGTTAATAAAAGACACCACAGTGTGTCTTAGTTTTGCTAGCTTTGCCATTGCCATATAAATCCTCTGATCTTAAAAAGGCAAGTCCATTCCAGTCTTCTTTAGCGATGCATGACAGATTCATCTACACAGGCAGAACCACAACATTATGCTTCATACAATATTTAAAGTAAACAAAATACCAATGTCTGAATAGATAATACTGTGGAAATGATGGCCAAGCAGCAGGTAGAGACTGCTCAGATTAAGCACTCTCAAATTATGCTGTGCAATTTTTCATAAGAGCGGAAACAGAAACTATTTAAATCTGTAACATATCATCACATTAACCAAAATCTCTCTCTCCTCCTAGGTTTTCAAAGCTTCATTTACCAGGTTATATCATCAGTCTTTACACCACTGAAGTAACAACAAATATCTACAGAGTGCAGTGAAATTTCAGTACTTACAGCTGCCACTGTTAGCATATCAAACACTTTGGTGCAATAACGCCACGCATTTGCATTCCCATACTTGGTCTGGCACTCATCTGTAAGACAAGAAATCTCTCATTTATTTCAGGTGAGAGTGTGTATACATGATAATTACGTTTGCAGCTGGCCAAAAACTAATCGTCAACCTCCATAAATCCCATCTCACCGTAAAAGCCATAAACTTGTGTGATCTGTCTGCTCTCGTGGTTTCCACGCAGAAGTGTGATGCGGTCAGGCCATTTGGCTTTCAGCACCAGCAGGTAGGTGAAAGTCTCCAGACTGTAGTACCCCCGGTCAACAAAGTCACCCTGAAGATGACAGGTTTAAATTTTTATTTTATTTTTTTTACCAATCTTGGTCTGTGCAGTTAAAACTAATCTATTAAGACAGATGCTCATGTTCAAATTGATTTAAATATACAAACCATAAATATGTAATTTGTGTCTGGAACCTGGCCACCAGTTCGGAAGAGTTCACAAAGATCATAAAACTAAGACACAAAGAGATAAAAATTCAGATCTCAAGTGCTGTGAAAGCTGCCATGTTCAAATTGTTGCTTAGCAATAATAGAGAAAGCAAGGTGCTTCTGACAGCGCACTGACGCTTCCTGCTTAAAGACGTGGATTTTACCTGCCCATGTATGTCCCCACATACTGTTACAGGAGTAGAGACAGGCTGAACATTGGACTCCTCCAGCAAGAGATCACACACATAGTCACATAACCTCTGTACAGATGAAAACATAACACACAGACACATGCTTCAGCCATCATTCAGCACAGGTATCCAATACTCATAAATGTGGCAACTTTCAAGCCTCTGAAACATAATTTAGTTTATCATGAGACACTTCTTCTACCCACTGTCACCCAGACTAATAAGATTCTTTTAGAAATACAAACATATTCACTTTAAGGTATTCATGCCATGTTAATGCGGCTGTGATGTGACTGGCACTGACTTAACACCCAAAACACTCATCAGTGATGACCTGTACCAAGACCAAAACTTCTCCTAGGTAGCAATTACTTTAGTCCACATGTATATTTATACACAGCCCATGCAATTTAAGCAGAAACAAAAGTGATTACATAGATTAAAATCACTTTTATTTATCATAATCAGCTGCAAAAGCTAACAGGTCAGTCGTTCACACTGACTGCCTGAAACCTTCAACTTCTCTGTATTGTACACCTGTATCTACAAGTGTAACTAAATTCAACTTCTCTGTATTGTGAGTACACCTGTATCTACAAGTGTAACTAATTCATTAAAAGCTACTTCCAGAAAATATGGTGCCACATTTACTCAGCATAAAGGTCCTGCATTTAAAATGTTACTTAAGTAAAAGTAGAATAGTAGTAGCATAAAAATTACTTTAAGTACCAAAAGTAAAAGCACTCATTATACAGAATACTATATTACACATTAATATATATTGTAATTATAAATTTGGACTAGAATTATTGATCCATAGCGTGTGTTGTTGTCGCTGCAGCTTGTTAAAGATGGGGCTGGTAAAGGTGACATTAATTTTAAACTACCATATATGCTGTTTTGGTTACCATACGTTTTCAAAATAGTAATTATACAGTGAAGAACGATATATAATGATGTTTTGCTCATTACCCACTGCGGATCAATCTTATTTTATGATTATAGTGTATTTTGTATTATTGATCTTATTTTGAAAAGTAGAAACTTAAGCTATCAAATAAATATAGGGCAGTAAAATACAATATTTGCCTCTGAAATACATTGAAGGCCTACTATGAAGTAGCAAAATGACAAATACTCAAGTAAAGTACAGATATCTCAAATTTGTATTTAAGTACAGTACTTGAGTAAATTCCACAACTGAAAATGAAGATGTATTACATGCATGTTACATTGTTGATTTCGACCTATCGGTTTTACAGGTTTGTTTCCAGAGAAAACTCCTTATGAGGCAATCGAGAACAGCTTAAGTTTTAACGTTAAATGACTAATAAGTGATCAGCTACCAACCAAACATCACGACAGTCAGCATCTTCAGGTCACTACTGCCAATAGGCTCATTTTAGCATCGGTAGATAATAGCACCTCAGAGCAGGTCATCCAGAATTTTGCTTTTAAGATTTGATAGGACAGTTGGACTGCGACAAGATGAACTTTTTATTCTGCGTTAACGGTTTTGACTTCCTGGCCAAGAGATGAAATAAGCATGCTAACATTAAGTTACCATCTAGCATTAGCTAGCTTGTTATGCTGTTACAACACAAAACCACAGTGAGCTAGCGTTTCCAATATAAGGCAATCATTTATGCCAATCAAAATGATTTCTCTATAGTCACACTTACCTTAAGGTCATTTTCTGGGAGGTATTTACACTGTTTCGCAATCTCCGCATATTTGTCCAAATCTAGAGGCGCCATTGTACCTAGCTAGACGTAATGCGCAACTTCCTGCAACACTTGAGCGGAGTTTCATTATGGGTGAACCACAGTTGTTCTTGGCACTCTACTGCCATCTAGCGTCTAAACCTTACTAGTGACGATCAACACGGCCACATCAGAAGCATGTCACTCTCAAGTTGTTCCGCAGTAATAAGTATGGATATAAAACACTATAAAAAATGTTACAAATGCGTGTTTAACCTTTTGTCCGTAACAAGCGATTTGTGTGTGTGTGTGTCATGAGGTTCACAAATGCGTGCTGCGCAATCTGCACGTATAAAGCGATTTGTGTGTGTGTGTCATGCTGTTCACAAATGCGTGCTGTACAAACTGCACGTAAAACACATTTTACAAATGCTTAAAATCAATTTTTCGTGTGCAATTCTTTAGAAAGTACGTACAAATTGTTACCTACGCACGCGTGGATCGTCTAACACACACGAATCACCTTCCGCGCACACACGGATTTTTGTATGGAAGCCCGTTTCCGCCAGTACAAAAAATTTTTTTTGATCTACAAAGTCATAATTATGAGATAAAAAGTCGAAATTTTGACTTACCTAAGTCATAATTATGAGATAAAAAGTCGAAATTTTGACTTACCTAAGTCATAATTATGAGATAAAAAGTCAAAATTTCGACTTAGTAAGTCAAAATTATGAGATAAAAAGTCGAAATTTCGACTTAGTAAATCGAAATTAGTAAGATACCAAAGTCAAGTGTGCATGCGCACTAGCTACCCGGACACCCACCATTACATACCTGGCCTTAACATTAGCTCCTTAACAAGGTAGAATAGATCATTTTTATAAATATTAATCAACTGCAATCTTTAAACAGTGGTTATGTAGCAACACGAACTACCATGTTGCTGTTAGTCTTGCTTTGACCCTAACTGTGGGTTTTATTGTAGTATCAGCGTTTCTGCCACCATGGTTCCCTTTCACTGTGAATAGAATCGATTTTGAGTACTTGACTGCTACGTGCAATAGTGCCTCACTCACTGCAAGACTGCTAACCTTACACGAACTCTCCAAGGAACTCCAAGCAGGTACGTGTGGCCATAACTACAGTATTATACTAATGATTGACTCTGATGGTGATTTTGCTTGTAGCTTAATGTTCAGTTCCAATATTAAGTTTGTGGAAAACGCCA